CTACACAAAATACTGTGATTAATCATGATTAACTATACAAAATACTGTGATTAATCATGATTAACTATACAAAATACTGTGATTAATCGTATTTAACTATACAAAATACTGTGATTAATGATTAACTATACAAAATACTGTGATTAATCGTATTAACTACACAAAATACTGTGATTAATCGTATTAACTATACAAAATACTGTGATTAATCGTGATTAACTATACAAAATACTGTGATTAATCGTGATTAACTATACAAAATACTGTGATTAATCATGATTAACTATACAAAATACTGTGATTAATAATGATTAACTATACAAAATACTGTGATTAATCATGTTTAACTATACAAAATACTGTGATTAATCATGATTAACTATACAAAATACTGTGATTAATCATGATTAACTATACAAAATACTGTGATTAATCGTGATTAACTACACAAAATACTGTGATTAATCGTGATTAACTACACAAAATACTGTGATTAATCATGATTAACTACACAAAATACTGTGATTAATCATGATTAACTATACAAAATACTGTGATTAATGATTAACTATACAAAATACTGTGATTAATCATGATTAACTACACAAAATACTGTGATTAATCGTGATTAACTACACAAAATACTGTGATTAATCGTGATTAACTACACAAAATACTGTGATTAATCATGATTAACTACACAAAATACTGTGATTAATCATGATTAACTATACAAAATACTGTGATTAATCATGATTAACTATACAAAATACTGTGATTAATCATGATTAACTATACAAAATACTGTGATTAATCGTGATTAACTACACAAAATACTGTGATTAATCGTGATTAACTACACAAAATACTGTGATTAATCATGATTAACTACACGAAATACTGTGATTAATCGTGATTAACTACACAAAATACTGTGATTAATCGTGATTAACTACACAAAATACTGTGATTAATCGTATTTAACTATACATAATACTGTGATTAATTGTGATTAACTATACAAAATACTGTGATTAATAATGATTAACTATACAAAATACTGTGATTAATCGTATTTAACTACACAAAATACTGTGATTAATAATGATTAACTATACAAAATACTGTGATTAATAATGATTAACTATACAAAATACTGTGATTAATCATGATTAACTATACAAAATACTGTGATTAATCGTATTTAACTATACAAAATACTGTGATTAATGATTAACTATACAAAAATACTGTGATTAATCGTATTTAACTACACAAAATACTGTGATTAATCGTATTTAACTATACACGATACTGTGATTAATCGTATTTAACTATACAAAATACTGTGATTAACGATTAACTATACAAAATACTGTGATTAATAATGATTAACTATACAAAATACTGTGATTAATAATGATTAACTATACAAAATACTGTGATTAATCATGTTTAACTATACAAAATACTGTGATTAATAATGATTAACTATACAAAATACTGTGATTAATAATGATTAACTATACAAAATACTGTGATTAATCGTGATTAACTACACAAAATACTGTGATTAATCGTGATTAACTACACAAAATACTGTGATTAATCATGATTAACTACACAAAATACTGTGATTAATCGTGATTAACTATACAAAATACTGTGATTAATCGTGATTAACTACACAAAATACTGTGATTAATCGTATTTAACTATACAAATACTGTGATTAATTGTGATTAACTATACAAAATACTGTGATTAATCATGATTAACTATACAAAATACTGTGATTAATCGTATTTAACTACACAAAATACTGTGATTAATTGTGATTAACTATACAAAATACTGTGATTAATTATGATTAACTATACAAAATACTGTGATTAATCATGATTAACTATACAAAATACTGTGATTAATCGTATTTAACTATACAAAATACTGTGATTAATGATTAACTATACAAAAATACTGTGATTAATCGTATTTAACTACACAAAATACTGTGATTAATCGTATTTAACTATACAAAATACTGTGATTAATCGCATTTAACTATACAAAATACTGTGATTAATCATGATTAACTATACAAAATACTGTGATTAATCATGTTTAACTATACAAAATACTGTGATTAATGATTAACTATACAAAATACTGTGATTAATGATTAACTATACAAAATACTGTGATTAATCGCATTTAACTATACAAAATACTGTGATTAATCGTATTTAACTATACAAAATACTGTGATTAATCGTATTTAACTATACAAAATACTGTGATTAATGATTAACTATACAAAATACTGTGATTAATCGTATTTAACTATACAAAATACTGTGATTAATCATGTTTAACTATACAAAATACTGTCATTAACCGTGTTTAACTATACAAAATATTGTGATTAATCGTGATTAACTATACAAAAATACTGTGATTAATTGTGATTAACTACACTATGGTCCTAATTCTCCAACCCTCCTTAAGAAGACATTTCTTCTTAAACCCACTTTGGCAGTTTTGACAAAGACTGACTCATCAATGTTCTCTGTCTGGGGTTTGTTCTTAGGTGAGAACAGAATCTACACACACTGAAGAGCACAAAGGTGAGAACAGTTCTGCGCTTCAAGAACACGTCATGAATCAGACGGAGACTTTTTATCAGGACCTTTCAGAAGAACACACTTAAGAACACACTTAAGAACAGACTTAAGAACAGACTTAAGAACAGACTTAAGAACAGACTTAGTTACATATATACACATTAATGATTCTAAATTTATTCTATTCTGACTAGATTTATTCTATTCTACTGCCTCTGATTCAATTTCATTCAGAATCTTCTATTCAAAGTAAAATCATTAATTGAATCATTTCATAATTCTACTCTCTCTTATACATCAACTCAATTAACTTTAACTTTATTTTTCAAGTCGATTCCTATGTTTTCAGAGGATCATTCATAGTGCTGATGCTGAATTCGGATTCTATTCTATTCTGAATCTTTTATTTCAATTCTATTCTAAATCTCATTCGGATTCTATTCTGAATCTATTCTAATTTCAATTTCATTTCGAATTCTATTAAGTTCTGAATCTTATTCTAATTCTGTTCAATTCTGAAGCTTTTGTTTGGATTCAATTCTATTCTAATTCTATTCCATTCTAATTCTGTTATTCAATTTCTATTCTGAATCTTTTATTCTGATTCTATTCTACTATGAATCTATTCTATTCCAATACGATTCCAACTCTATTCTTAATTTTACTGTGATTCTGTTCTATTCTGAATCTTTTCTGTTCAGAATTAAATCATTACTGATTCTGTTCTGAAACTCCTGCACATTAACTCTATATCTCTATGTCTGACTGACGGTGCTGATGCTGAATGAAATGGAAACAGTGAGTAAATAAATAAATAAATAAATAAATAAATAAGTAAATAAACAGTGTTACGCTCTCTGCCTCTGTAGACGTGGTGTGTTATGAAACAGATGTGTAAGAGAGGGTTTGAGAGCTCTCCTCCAGCTGTGATACTACCTCTCTCTCTCTAGCTCTCTCTCTCTCTCTCTCTCGAACACTGCAGGCTTTCCAATCAGCGTTACTAACGGCAACCGCATCGTTTACATCACTTTATTCTCACAGTCAAACCCAGTGCACATCCTCTCTGTCTGATTAGAGACCAGACGGGTTCAGACGCTCAGAGGCTTCCACTGACGGCCTGATCTACTGCAGCTCACTCAGAGCTCCTAATGACCCGGCGTTCTCAATCAGGTCCTGCTGCTCTCTATAGTAACACACAGCTCACCCCCACAGCCCCCCCACAGCCTGTGACCAGCTCAGAGCTCTGCGTCACAGACTATCCCATACGAACTGAGATACAGGAGCCGATCCAGGTGTGTCAACATCTGTATCCATGTATTAAAAAAACACTCCAGCCAAAATGAAATGAGTGACATGGCTTCTCTCCTCTCTCTCTCTCTCTCTCTCTGCCTCTCTGCCTCTCTGTCTCCCTGTCTCTCTCTCCTCTACAGCAGAGATGCCCAAACTTTCACCTAATAAAACAGCACACAAAGAACGAACAAAGAACGCCTTAATGTCACACTACAGTCATGGAAAAAATACTGTTCACTTATTCACACTCAGAAAATCAACAACAGCATGTCGTTTGAAATTTACACTGTTTTGTTACTAAAAGTACTTCAATGTACTTTAAAGGAAAGACATTTCAAGAGAATCCCAAAAAATAAAAAAGCAATTTATTTTGAAATAGTTTTTCTTTTTTTAAATACACAAACATAAGTACATAAGTATTTTTTAACATAAGTATTTTTTACTAAAGGTTCTTCAAAATACAGTCTTAAAATGAAAATACATTTAAAATGACATTAAAAAATCTGTAGTAGAAGGTTCTACCACTATGTTTCTATTTTAACGACTAGAAAACCCCCTTCTGATGATGTATGTTGAAGGTGGGAGGAGCTTGTGAGCTGTGTGAGGCGTATTTTGTAAAGACATCTGAACCATTTCACACCAAACCACTCTGAATCGCCCTGTATACATCTCACACACTGAGTTATGGGGTATTTTGAATTATATATTAACTCATAGAACCACACTGGAGCTTCTCATTAGACTGAATTAAAAGCTGAAAGCAGATCAGCAGCTGAACCAACATGACAGACTGGAATTAAACCTAAAACAGAGAATTAGGAGCTGAACAGAATGGAACCAACAATAGAACCTAGAATGGAACCAAATATAAAATAAATACAAGTAAATTCAGCTAAATCTACCAAAACTGAACTGGTTTCGTCACTTTTACTGTGTTTGCAGCTGTATAACCTACGAAAACACAGACATCAGACTGGACTAGCTGATTTACAGCACTGTGAAGAGAGTGAGAGTGAGAAACTGACCCTCTGCAGCCTGTTTCTGTTATTCTGGCCCGCAGTCTGAAGGCCTGAGTGTTGGACTCACCTCTATGGTGTACGTTTGGTCGTGTTTGACCGTCTCTCCGCTGCGCAGGGTCCTGGAGAAGGAGAACTCGGTGGTGGGCGTTTCCTTCCTCTCTCCAGCCCCCTCCTGCTGGACGCCGCTGTCCTCCGGCTCCGATCCCTTCTGCTTCTTCTTCTTCTGCTTCTTCTGTCCATCGCTCTGGGCCTTCCTCTGCCTGTACTCCGCCAGCTGCAACACACACAGACGCCGACACAGGAGTGAACACACAAACAGAACAGGCTGGGAAAGAACACAGTCAGATTACAGCAGGAATTCACAGAAACCCCCCAAAATCTCTAATCCGTAATAATCCGCCGCTGTGCCGGAGTAATCCGACACCGCACAGCCCTAATTTCAGAAGTTTGAGGGTGAAGCGTACGGTGAAGCGGTAGAGCTTGGTGAAGCCGAGACGCAGCTTGTCCATGCTGTGCTCCTGGCAGTCTGACGCCTGTCTACGCCGCTAACCACGCTGAGAGCTAATCGCGCCAACGTACGCTAACGGGCTTAAGATCACACGCCGCCACGGCAGGAAACAACATGCCCTCCCGCAATATGCCGGCGCAGATGGTGCCGGAGCGGATCAGTAAACTGCAGCTGCTGAGCGCTCAGCCCACTCACGGCTCTTTTACAGCCTATAGAGCTGTTAGCTGGGCGCTAACGTTTAGCCTGGCCTGCTGGTTTCAGCTGCTCTTCAACAATCTATTAAGGTGAAGTGTTGGTTCCAGCTGCCCTAGAACAGCCCATCATGCTCTACTGCTGGTTCCAGCTGCTTTAGAACAGCTCCATGTTCTACTGCTGTTTTCAGCTGCTCTTCAACAGTCTATCACAACGAAGCATTAGTTCCAACTGCTCTAGTACACTCCATCAAGCTCTACTGCTGGTTTCAGCAGCTCTAGTACACTCCATCAAGCTCTACTGCTGGTTTCAGCAGCTCTAGTACACTCCATCAAGCTCTACTGCTGGTTTCAGCAGCTCTAGTACACTCCATCAAGCTCTACTGCTAGTTTCAGCAGCTCTTGTACACTCCATCAAGCTCTACTACACTCCATCAAACTCTACTACACTCCATCAAACTCTACTGCTAGTTTCAGCTGCTCTAGTACACTCCATCAAGCTCTACTGCTGGTTTCAGCTGCTCTAGAACAGCTCGTCATGTTCTACTGCTAGTTTCAGCTGCTCTAGTACACTCCATCATGCTCTACTGCTAGTTTCAGCTGCTCTAGTACACTCCATCATGCTCTACTGCTAGTTTCAGCTGCTCTAGTACACTCCATCAAGCTCTACTGCTGGTTTCAGCTGCTCTAGTACACTCCAAGCTCTACTGCTGGTTTCAGCTGCTCTAGTACACTCCATCATCCACTGCTGCTGGTTTCAGCTGCTCTAGAACAGCTCGTCATGCTCTACTGCTGGTTCCAGCTGCTCTAGTACACTCCATCATGCTCTACTGCTAGTTTCAGCTGCTCTAGTACACTCAGTCAAGCTCTACTGCTAGTTTCAGCTGCTCTAGTACACTCCATCAAGCTCTACTGCTAGTTTCAGCTGCTCTAGTACACTCCATCATGCTCTACTGCTAGTTTCAGCTGCTCTAGTACACTCCATCAAGCTCTACTGCTAGTTTCAGCTGCTCTAGTACACTCCATCAAACTCTACTGCTAGTTTCAGCAGCTCTTGTACACTCTATCAAGCTCTACCGCTGGTTTCAGCTGCTCTAGTACACTCCATCATCCACTGCTGCTGGTTTCAGCTGCTCTAGAAATAGTTTCCTCTACAGCAGTCGAGTCGATCATGGTGTGGTGTTAGATTGACCTACTTCCTTACGTCTTTTGCAGACATGTTTTTTTCTGGATCCTCTGGGTTGAACTACAGCCCCAGAAGGGACTCCGCCCTGAAAAGCCCTGCTCGGTTCAGGACTAAGATTAACCTGTGCCTACAGAACCTGATTCCTGGACCTCAGGATGTAACGCAGCCCACTGAAAACCTGTTAAAGGAAGCTGTTACAGCAGAGCCGCTCTGTGTTCAGCAGCCCACAGAGGCCACACTAGCCTAAAGGAGGGAAACAGATGTTCACAGCTCCAAAAAAACAAAACAAAAGCTGCTTCAACATCCAGATTCCCTGAATCTCTCCGGTGCTTCACCCTGCAGCGCGAGGTTGGAGAACACTCAGCATCTGGTCTTACAGCTCCATCACACGGGCGGAGAAAAAAGCCCTTCAGGAATCTGTTCAGCTGTAACCATGGTGATCAAACACAGGCTCCGAACAGCGCAGTGACCCACGCGTCCACTTACACCTCTCAGCATAAACAGAGCGACCCAGAGGGCAGGCCGGCCCGGGCGCCAGTCTGCGGGCGCTAATTGCTCAGCTTAAACGAGCAGTTTTTAACCAGTCTGTGGTTTTTCAAAGAGCTTTTTGAGGGAAGGTGACGTATAACCGACACACCATACAGACAAACGTGTTACAGTCGTATCCCTATATATTACATTTGGGATGCCTGAGTTACTGCGACTGTGAGACCTGATGAAGGCCCGTCATCTGCTGGCACTGAGATTCATCACTAAATCTGTCATTGTTCCAGCACTGTGATCTATTACAGAGCTCAGCACTGCCATGATGATAAACAGGCCATAACCGTCACCAAACTGGGTTAACATTCAAACCAAAACAGGTCTCGATACGACGTTCATCACAGTCTCTGTTACGATCCGATATATCACCACAATCGCCACTGGATCACTGCGATCAAAGCTCAGAATTCAAAAATAATGTGATGATCTCCATCCAAAATGTGCAGCTGAGTACAGATTTACTGGCCTTTCAAAGCTGCTGCCACCTACAGGCGATAAAGAGGAACTGCATCCACACGGACTGAACTATTGAAATGAATACACAGATAGACAGATAAGTAGACAGACAGACAGACACACAGACAGATATCAAAGCAAAGGTTCAAAGCACTGATGCAAAACTGTGAACAACAGGATCACGATTCAGCGATGAATGGTAGAACCGACACAGAGAACCTTTAATCTTTACTGACTGCGTCACTATTTCACTGACCTGTGTTCACTCAGAGCTGGTTTGGGCGGGTTAACGGTACTAAGGAATAACGCTGTGTTTAAAAATAATGACCGTATTTCACAGTTACGTTCAGAACAGGCTCTTCACACGTTTCTGCACTGTTTCTGCTGGAAGTTCTCGATACAGGTGTCGCTGCTTCTGCTAAAGCAATAACAATAACTCAGGCAAGTGTTTGACTTTGAAGCAACAACAGCCTCACCTCAGTTTCAGTGGTTCATCAGCTGACGATGATCAGAGGAGAAATGAGTTTGTCATACGGAGTAAAAGACCCTCTATGTCAGTGTTTCAGCGCTGCTGACTGACGTTAACGTGCAGTTAGTGCTGTAAAGTTGCTGCTTCAGCCGCTTTCAGAGGAACAGTTTTCATTTTCTCTCTAAAGCTGTCGGTATCTGAGAGCTCAGCGTCTACAGTGGCGCTACGGACCCTGACAACCCGGCGCTGATTCTCAAATAACAGAAATACATGCTCCCACATCATTTATGAAAGCTAGATTTTCAGTTGTTCTTTAAAAAGCACACTAGCTGTAACGTAAACATACAGCAGTCTCACTGTGGGGCCTACAGAACCTCTCTAAGGTTCCGACACGCTAGACAACACAAGGACAGAGCAGTGGATGTATATGCATGCAGATGTTGTGCGTCTAGAAGGCGTGTTCACGGCTGAAGCGGGCGGAGTTTCTACAGTTCAACATCTAGAACATCTGGACCAGAAACAAATGAATATGGAAAAAAAAGAAGTTGTACAGAACAGTAAAGAGAACACAGCGTCGCTACTGATCAGCCTCTCCTCCATCTCGGATGTCCATCCGTCGTCTCCCTGTCGCCGCCCAGCCGTACTTCTATTGGTTGACGAGCAAAATCACATTGAAATGGTTTTCAACGTCTGACGGAGCGACTTTTCTCTAAAAAACAAGCCCAGCAGTGTCCTGACTGAACTATACTGGAGGGGCTGTGCTTCTGACACTGTAAACCCTCAGAATCACCGACTCTGACCCTAATCTGGACCGTCCACTCTCCCCCAAAACCCTGACCACTCTGAACCCCCGCAGGATTACACAGGTCTCATGGAATAAACCAGAAAGAGCAGAGCACTCTGAAACAGCCCCGATTTATCTCTTTAAGAAACCCGTCCAGAAGGAGGACGCGGTCATTTAATCACCCTCCCGCTGCCGGCTGACTGGCGCTTGGCCTGGTTGGCACGGCAACCTGAGCTCTGAGGCAGTCTGACCCGAGAGCCGAGGTCAGTCGTCCTCCTCGAGGCCTGCGTGCTACAAGAGAGGACAGGTCAGGCTGAACGCTGAGAGACGGTCAACCTCACTGGCTTTTACAGTAAAGCCACTCAACGTCCACCAACAACACGAATCCAACTCCTCCACACAGACAGTCCAGCAGCCGAGACACGACGCCGCAGAGGGTGCGGAGAGAAGTGATGAGGAAACATTTATCTACTATTTCACTCCTACATTCCACTACGTTTGTGATCCTGAGACTCTGGTAAAGCAGTTCGTCCTCATCAGTAAAGACGTATCAACACGAGAGAGTTTAAGAACTTCCACAAAACCGGACTCAGTGTTTCAGCTTTAGGGCTGAATTATCTCTGAACTCAGAGCTGCCGGTCAAAGGGCCTCAGTACAGAGACAGCTGAGACTGTTCTGGACATTCTGATACACAACGTCAATAAAATCATGACGTATCAAACAGGAGAATTTAAGAACATATACAAAAATAATCAAAACGCCCTCAGAGCACAGAGGGTGAACTAGAGCTACTTAGAGTCAAGTAAAGAGTTTACTACAAAAAGCGCCCACTCCAAAACAAAACTCCCCTCTGTTCATGGAAAGAGCTTTTAATGGCACCAAACCTGCTGTGTAGTTTCAGTATTTAACTACGGAAAAATAGCGAACAAGTTATTTAACTACTTCTACTGTACTAAACGGGACACTACCGTACTAAAGAGCGCTCTACTGTACTAAACGGGACACTACCGTACTAAAGAGCGCTCTACTGTACTAAACGGCGCTCGACCGTACTAAACCGCACACGACTGTACTAAACGGCACACTACCGTACTAAAGAGCGCTCTACCGTACTAAACGGCGCTCGACCATACTGAA